CCAAGGCTGACAAAACAATCGCCCAGGTACTGGACTGGGTGAGGAGGGGGTGGCCGGGCACTAACCTTGCAACCGAGTTCACACCTTTTAAGACCCGTCAACAGGAACTATCTAGCTTGCAGGGCTGCCTGTTGTGGGGCACCAGAGTCATCATCCCGGCCTCACTTTGCACGCCAGTCTTAGAGGCACTGCACGAGGGCCACCCGGGCATCGTCCGAATGAAGGCACTAGCTCGTAGTTACGTCTGGTGGCCTGGCTTGGACGACGACATCGTAAAGTGGGTAAGCTCTTGCCAACCCTGTCAGGAATCCAGACCATCCCCTCCAGTCACCACCCCCACAAAGTGGGAGAGCGCCAACGCGCCTTGGTCAAGACTTCACATTGACTTAGCCGGCCCAATACACGGCAAAACCTTCCTGGTGGTCGTGGATTCATACTCTAAATGGATCGATGTGGCCCAACTATCCACGACCACCACGCAAGCGGTTACCAAGGCCTTGACCCATCTATTCGTGACACACGGTCTACCAGATACTATAGTTTCGGATAATGGCCCCCAGTTTGCCTCAACAGAGTTTAGCCGCTTTGCCTCCAATCTTGGCATCTGACACATCTTCACGGCCCCATTTCATCCTGCCAGCAACGGATTGGCAGAGAGAGCTGTTAGGTCCACAAAAGAAGCGTTAGCCAGATTCAGCAAAGAAGACTGGCACCACAGACTCTCCCGTTTCTTACTAAGCCAACACTCAACCCCATGCATGGTCACCAACAAATCCCCAGCTGAACTCCTGATGGGTAGACGCCTAAGAACTGTGTTGGATAGGCTCCACCCTCACTATTGCCCTGACACCCCTCTTGCTTCAATAACGGGGGTCAGAGATTTTGTCTTGCAGGAACATGTCTTTGCGAGGAACTACGCTGGAGACCCACTGTGGATTCCAGGGGAGATTGTAGCCATCACCGGTCCCAGGTCGTACCGAGTCCAGCTGGAAGACGGCCGCATCTGGAGAAGGCACCTGGACCAGCTAAGGAAGCGCCAGGGTACCCCCGCCGGTGCTGGGTCGTGGGCACAGGTCAGTCCCCAGGTGCCACACCAAACTCTCATCGGAGACCATTCCAGAGGCTCTTCGCCACCATCACCCGAGCATAGGGAGCAGGCAGTAGACCGAGACTGCCCGATGGGTTCCCCACCTGAACTATCTGATGGAGCCGCGACATCGCCAGCCAGAAGCACTTCACCGGTACCAGCTCAGACCACCGAGTGAGTCCGCACTCCATCACCAACACTACCTGCTTCTTCGAACTCTGAGACACTTGGTAACTCGCCTGAGTTACGACGCTCGGGACGCCAGCACAGGCCACCCGCTTATTTAAATGACTATGCGTATTCGCATCTGGGGGGAAGGGGTGTTATGTCCCTGGAACTTGCCAAAGTTCCCACCCAGGTCCGTTCAAGCTGCGGGGGCGTTTGCTGCCCCTCATTGGCTGACTTCCCTCGACAGCCGGCTATAAAAGCCGGCTGCAGGGTTCGGTCAGCCGCTGTTCGTTGGAAGCCTGCTCTAGGCAGAGCTGACACGTCCAGTCCTTTATTTCTCAAATAAAGTCTTGTTGCATCCATGCCCTGGTCTAGCCTCTCATTGCTCAATCTACAACAGTAAGTAAACTATAGAACTCTGAACAAACAAAGAAAATATCCTGAATATGTTGAAAATAAAGAGAAATAAATGTAATATGAAATGGATGACAGAATTAAATTGTCAACTCTTCAAATATAAAATAGTGAAACCTTTAGGGGAGCTCAAATATAATATTCATATAAAATGTAGAACTATTTCATAAATTTATTAAAATTGATCTTGGAACTTCCTCTGCAAGCAACTCTATTGGCACCAAATAGGATTATTGATCTACAGTGTTTGCTAAACGAATAGAAACCTACGTGATTTTGGTTTTTTGCCCCCTTTTTGGAAATGTACCATCTTAATTTCTGACTAGGCCTATTTCATATGCTTAAGGTCTATTTTTCCTGTCTCAACAACTCATACAATTTTCTTTGTTTGGCACCTGTTTCTGGATGAACAATACCAGATGTTTAGTTAAGATTCTGTTCACTGTGTCTATATCTGAAAGGGACATTCATGACAAAAAGTCATCAAAATAGAGTGACAGAATAGAACGTGGTGGCTAAACTTTTTGGGCTTTCGTGCTGAAAATTGCGCTCGTGCTTGAGTGTGCACGCTTGCATGCCAGCACCCAAAAGGCAATGCACATTCCTGCCCACGCCTCCTGTGCATGCATGCACAACTCCCCTGCATGCTGCACATCTCTGCGCATGCACATGCAATTCGCCCCGCATGCCATGTGTCTCTGCACATGCATGCGTGTATCCTGAGGTCCCTGCCACCGAGCATGTGCACCAGATACCCGACAATCAGATGTTGGGCAGGCAGCGCATGCGCATGCACACTGGGAATCTTCTGGGTGACCTCGCACATGCCGGCAGAAGTGCTCTGCGTGTCACTTCCAGCATGTGTGCTATAGGTTCACCATCACGGGAATAGAATTTTCTATTATAATAGAAATATAATTTTCTCCTAAAAGTAGATTCCTCTTCATAATGTAGTCATTCACATATATTTTTGTTACATCTTGATCATAACATCATATTTGACTTTTGGCTCTCCTACACTGCAGCCTTCAACTGTATATTTCCTCTATTTATTTATTTACTTGCTTATTTATTTATTTGTTTATTTGTTTGTTTGTTTATTTATTTGTTTTGTCAATTGCTTACAAGATAATAGGTATAAGTATAAACATAGTTATGAATACATGAAATGGATATGTGTAGAAAAAATAAAAGAAACAATAGGACAGGGATGGTAGGCACGTTGGTGTGCTTATGCACGTCCCCTACAGATCTCTTAGGAAAGGGATGAGGTCAATAGTAGACAGTCTGAGGTTAAAGTTTTTGGGGTTTGGGGAAGAAACCACAGAGTCAGGTAGAGTATTCCAGACATTGACCACTATGTTGCTGAAGTCGTATTTCCTGAAATCAAGTTTGGTGCAGTTAACCTTGAGTTTGTATCTATTGTGTGCTCTTGTATTGTTATGGTTGAAGCTGAAGTATTCATTGACAGGTAGGACATTGCAATGTATGATTTTATATATTATACTTAGATCAGACCGAAGACAGCGTAGTTCTAGGTTTTCTAAGTCTAGAATTTCAAGTCTGGTGGCATAAGGTATTCTGCAACGAGTAGAGGAGTGGAGAACTCTTCTTGTGAAATATTTCTGGACTTTCTCAACTGTGCTAATATCAGATATGTAATGTGGGTTCCAGACTAATGAGCTGTATTTGAGTATTGGTCTAGCAGATGTTTTGTATGCTCTAGTTATTAGTGTGATATTACCAGAGAAAAAGCTATGTAGGATTAGGTTAACAACTCTTAATGCCTTTCTGGCTATGAAGTTACAGTGGGCTGCAGCACTTAGATCATTAGAGATGAGTACTCCAGAGTTTGGATCATCAACAAGGTCTTGACTATTCAGCTTGTATTTTATTTTCTGATATTTTTTTTGCCAATACATAAGACAGAGCATTTATTTGCTGAGCTTTGAAGTTGCCATTTGTCTGACCATTCTCATACATAGTTGAGGTCTTTTTGAAGGGTAGCTAGTAATAAGACTAGTTAAAGAACTTCCACTATGAATTTCAAAGCCTTCCTTAGGTTTGATCATAGCAATTTCTTGATGTTCTGTCCAGACCCTACTTACCCAGAGCCCCTGCTTGCTATTTCCCCAGCATGTCACCTTAGCTGGAAGCAGTGGTGGGAGCCAAATTTTTTTACTACTGGTTCTGTGGGCATGGCTTGGTGGGCATGGCTTGGTGGGTGTAGCAGGGGAAGGATACTGCAAGATCCCATTTTCTCCACACTTCACTAACCTGCTTTCCAGCTCCATTCTCTTGTGTAGAGCAACCAAAGAAGATTCAGCCGATCAGCTGAGACTTGGAAGGCAGAGAATAGATGGGGGCAAGGCCCGTTAGAGGTGGTGTTTGCCAGTTCTTCAAACTACTCAAAATTTCCATTACCGGTTCTCCAGAACTGGTCAGAACCTGATGAATACCACCTCTGGCTGGAAGGGTCTATCCTTGCATTATTCTATCAATCAATATATAAGGAAATCTGTGGATTCACTTACAATAACGCTTGTTAGAAAAAAAATTCAATGTTTTACTGGAGAACTCATAAAAACAACTGTAACCGTGGAAAGCAGTGTCCATTCACTGGGGGAAAGATTCAATCTTTCCCACCAATTTCTCAATTAACAGAATTATTAGTTTTTTTAAATTTGTCAATTGCTTACAAGATAATAGGTATAAGTAAAAACATAGTTATGAATACATGGATACATATAAGAAAAATAATATATATATATATAAAAGAAACAATAAGACAGGGATGGTAGGCACATTGGTGCGCTTATTCATGCCCTCTACAGACCTCTTAGGAAAGGGGTGAGGTCAATAGTAGACAGTCTAAGATTAAAGTTTTGGGGGTTTGGGAAAAAACCAGAGTCAGGTAGAGTATTCCAGACATCGACCACTCTGTTGCTGAAGTCGTATTTCCTGCAATCAAGTTTGGTGCGATTAACCTTGAGTTTGTATCTATTGTTTGCTCTTGTGTTGTTATGGTTGAAGCGGAAGTATTCATTTAAAAGTTCAAGCTTTTAATATCTTTTATGTGTTTCAAGACTGTTTTTATTCCAGTTCATACAAATAGTGTGTTCTTGGGATTTATGCAAACTTTTAGAGTCATGCAAGTAATTAAACTTCTACACATTTTATAGAAGGAATCTCACATCAGAGCTCCAAGTGCTGTGTTTCAAGCAAGAGATTGGTAATACCATTATATTTAAATTATCTTTCCAGAGAGTTGCTATGATGTCACCCTGTCTCCTCCCACAGTGTAAACTAAACTGTCAAAGTTTAGCTGTCTCTGTGACAGAGAGAACCGCTCAGTTCCTTGCAGCTGCATTACCTTGTATCACACCCTTCAGCATCTTTAACAGTGGATTTTTTTGTTTGGAAGTATGATATCAAGATTGGTCTTTTTCCTTTTCTGTGGACATTTTGCACAAATCCTTGGAAATGCTGGGAAATTGCCAAAAGGCAAGTAGAAATGGTTCTCATACTTCGTAGGGAAGAAATGCTTAGCCTTAATAACAAAATCTTGTTTTCAGAAAATATGAAAGATTAAGAATGCAGTGAAGGAGAAATGAAATAGTAAAAATTGCAAAAACACATATAAGAGAGACAGAGACAGATGGAGTAATTTAAAACTCTTTGCATAAACAAAGGAAAGGATAAAACATACTTTTTAATTTCTTGACCTAAACAAGGAACACTGTAACCAGATGAAAAACTAGTTTTGTTTATTTTTTTTAAACATTTACTTCTTAGGATAGTATGTAATATGATCTCTGAATTCTCTGGATTCAGTTCTTTCAACTTCACTGTAAACACTTTAAAACTGATTTGATTTATTGTATATCATCAATACTAGTTTTCCTCAATTACTTGTATTTAGTATCTATTAAAATGTATGCTTGCATGCCTATAAAATGCAGTGTTAAGGAATATTGCACTGGACCCAATTTTTTATAATGTGAAAGAAATTATGCAAACATTTAATTTTTTTAAATATATGTTAATCTGACATTTTAAACTTCTTACTGAAAACAATCTGTGCTGTAACATTAATATCATATTTATAAATCTTGATTAAACTGCCCAATACATTGGTACTTTTTAACCCTATGGTACTTCCCATTCTTTTATTGACTTCGCTGAAATGCTTTTTAATAGAGTGTATGCTTCACAAATGCGCCCAGTATGTCTAGAAATCCCTTAAGTACATTTTATTTTTTTATTCAGTGGGTGGAAAAAAGTTAAGTTAGAAAAGATTATGCATGTATGACTTATTTCATGTCAGGTGAATAATGACCTTTTCCCACAAAACAATGTGTTTTTTTTTATTTGTAATTTGAAAAGCTTATATCCTTCCTACACAAAATGTAGTCTTTATCAAATGCATATAATTGTAATGTATTTATCAAAGGAACTGCAGCAACATGTTTACCTTCTGAGTTAAATAGTATAGTACTTTCATTACAACATGTGGATAATTCTATATATCTTCCTTATCTCTTTTATGGGATAATAATCATAACTATCTGAATGCAGAATTCTGACACAATATTTTATTTTGTGTCAATGCTTTTTGGCCCAATGCATTAAGGCAGATGTTTTCTCAAATTAAATGGCAAGTGAAAATACTAATTACTATTTTTCATTTTTCCAATTATTCTTGACTTTGGAAAGAAATAACCATCTACATATTCTAGTTTTCCAAATATGTACAACTGTAGTCTGAGGCTCTTTCTAATATACTGCACTTATTGCAATCTGAGATATTCCAAAGATTTATTTTTAGGTATTTCAAATGTTTTAGGTATTTTAAACATTTAATGACATTTGTTTCTTTGAACTCTTGAATTATTAAATTTAAAAAAAATAAAGAACACACTAAAGTTACTTTTTCCAGTGTAGCATTTCTATTCACAGTCTTCATAAAATAGTACAAAGATTCCAGCTAACAGCAGTGCTTTGAAATCAGTTCATAATGCTAAGAGGTGCCAAAGTTATTTTTGGGTAGACTTAATCATTTCAGTGAATTTTATTCCTGGCATTAAGTTATGAATGTAGATGTCCTTTTCCCAGTACAAAAAAGGAAGGGAAGGGAAGGGAAGGGAAGGGAAGGGAAGAATTCCTTGGTACAAGAAGAGGAAAAAAATCCTTTTTTTTTTTACCAAGCAAAAGAAATGTAATAGAAATAGAAAACCAGTAAGATGTTTGGATGTTAATTACTTGGATTTAGTATAAAAACTGTTTATAACAAATGTGCTATTCTTAAACCATCAATACAAAGGCTTTACCTTTTGAAATGCTGCCATTTTTTCATATCACATTTCACTCCAAAGAAATTTCAACTTGAAAATGTTAGTAGGGAAATAGTATTTTCTGTAGTGGTTACCTAAAATTTGTTTGGTACTTATAGAATCAATCAAAAGAGATTAAACAGTTATATCAAATCACCACCTGAAGAACAAATGTGACTAGAAATATAAGGCTCTCATCATGGTCATAATTTGTGATGTCATAAAATGGTCGATCACACACCGACCCAACTTTATGACCTTCTTGTAGCAGTCATCAAGTGAACGTAGTGGTCATTACATAAATGTGGCAGTCATTAAGCAAACCAAAAGTTCATGAAAAAAAAAAACAGAAATAAATATCGGTTTTCAGCAAACCCATCATAAAATGTGGTCCATAACTGAAAGATGCTGTACGTGGCCATAAATGCAACCTGGCTGCTCAACAACTGTAGTGCAGTCATGTGACCATGGTGGGCAATATCAGAACTTTGAATCCAGGCCATAAGTAACCCTCAGGAATTGTAGGTCTATTGAAATTTTGAACAGTCTCTAAATGACTGGTTGTAAGTTGAGGACTACCTGTAATGCCACAAATAGGATTTTTGATACATCTATAGTAGAAGTATGTAAATACAGTTTCTTATAACCTTATTTTAAAGATAAGTGTATTAATCTGAAACTCCTTGCTATTTCTGCCTTTGACATTTTATGGTTTCTTAACTAGCAAGACCCTGTCCAGATCCTCATCTCTAATTAAACTGACATACATGAAATATTAATTTGAATATGCCAAAAATAAAAACAGAGGTAAATGTAGCATGATTGCCCAAATGAGTGGATCAAACAAAATCTATTCCATTTACTGTATGCACTTTAGAATTTCAGATCAAACTCAAAAGTCGCTTGCCTTATTTTCTATATTATATCTTTCTTTAAGTGTTTAAAAACATGACATTTTTACACAGGTCAACATGTCTTTTTAAGGCCATAGGCTTCTTTCCAAACACTTTCTGGAATACCTGTGTATCTATACAATATTGATTGTTCATGTGGATATTCCAGAAAGAGTTAGGAAACAGTTTTCTATACTTTGAGCATGGTGCTAGCTTCAGTCCTTCAAATATTTTAGGAAATGATTGCTGTATATGTAAACTTATTTCAGATAAACATTGACAGACAAGTAATGCCAGAAGCATCCTGCAATAGCTGCAGATATTTAAAAATTAAGCTGTCTGTTATATGAAATGGAGTGTATACATAGATGTGCCCGTGTAGCTGCAGACAAGGAATAACAATACTGTTAGTAATATTTATTTTAATTTCCATTTCACATGAAATATTAATGGCTGGGCACAAGTAAATGTGGCTAGATGATGTACATATCTGTAAGACATTTAAAATGGGAACAGAGCTGCATTGTCTAATGTTTGTGGTATGCATTTACTATTCCATTTTTTAGTTGTTGACATTTTTAAGTGTTTCTCAAGTTTAGCAAAACCGCAATTCAGTTCTCATCTATTCAGAAGTTTTATTGATTCTCATGTTCCTAAGGAATAAATCCCTAAGAATACCAAAAGACATATTAGTATATCAAATACTATGCAATGTTATATGGAATTGTATTAGGTAAAAGGAAATGCTGGATTGAACATTGTTTATTAACTGATTAATTTTATGACTCAAAATTACATACAATTAAGTTTAAAATATGAATACATTTATTTTTCTTTTAAAAATGCAACTTACAGGTAGTTCTTGAATCATGACCACAACTGAGAGCAAAATTTCTGTTGTTAAGTGAATTTTTCCCCATTTTATGATCTTTGCATCATTGCAGTTCTTATGTTAGTAAAGTTAAGTGAATCCAGCTTCCCTATTGACTTTGCTTGTCAGAAGTTGCAAAAGGCAACATGATTCCAGGACATTGCAAGTATCATAAATATGAATTAGTTACCAAGTGTCTGAATTTGGGTCATGTGACCATGGGGTTGTAAAAATGGTTGTAAGGGTGAAAAACAGTCATAGGTCACCTTTTTCAGTGTCGTTGAACTGAATTGTTGTAAGTTGAGCACTACCTGTATAAAATTGAATGTTGTGAGATAAATTATAAATCCACAGCAGCATAGCAAATAAACAAAAATAATTTCAGTAGTTAATAAAAATAAGTAAAGTACTTTAATTAGGCATTTAACTTAATTAGGCATTTAACACATGTTATATTGAATAATGAATCCATACTGTGATCAAATTAGGAAAAGAAAAAGCATTGTTATATAAAAAATAGATTTTCTATTGTGAATAAATAAACTCAAATCAGGACTTCAGAATTGAGATCAAATCATATATACCTGATTGTTTAAGTCCTCAGCCATACATTTTCTTCTGCCTGTGTCAAGAGATGTCTTCAATACATAGGTACCAGCTATTTGTTAAATAGCCTCATAGATTAAATAGCTACAGAGATACTAGCTATTTGTTAAATATTTCTTCTCGACAGGCCTTTAAATTGGTGATACCCGCTTAGGTTCTATTAAAGCAATTGGACATAATGTTTTCCATCAGAAATTCAACACCATCTTTACTAAAAAAAATGGAATTAACATAGAAATGTCAGAAATTGGTGGCTTTCAGCATTCCAACTGTCTCATTGAAGGAAAGGCTCTCAATAGCCCATTGCTGCTGAACAGGACAGGACAGGACAGGACAGAACAGGACAAACCATAACTCATAAACCAGTTTTATTTTTTAAGACTTATGAAGGAATAGCAATTCATTTCTTCTATTAACTTTCATTGTCACTTCACTTAAGACAACTTCTGTTGTCCCACTCCCTTTTTAATCAATGAACATTTTTCCCATTTGCAATAAGTGTGGAACTTTTCTAAAAAGAAAAACAGCATGATTTTCCAACAACTATCCTTACTTGCCAGAACAGGGTTCTTTTGCCCTTCCTTTTTTTCTCTTATTGCTGCATCTGACTTACCTCTGTGCTTTCACTACAGCAACCTCCAAAGTGATAGATTCCACCTTCCTGTAAAGGCAGCAATTTTGTTTATCTAGTTTTATGGGTATAGCCCTGTGATGGCGAACCTATGCTATGTGTGCCAGAATGGCACAAAAAGCCATCTCTCCTGACACGCCAGCTGTTGCCTGTTGCTCTTCTGGGTTATG